ATGCCATAAATCAGAATTTTGTTCTAAAGTGTTTGATATATATAGCAATCAGACGGACTATCTAGATCATGAAAATGCAGTTTGAAGGTAAATTTTTGCTGAACATAATAAGAATTGATGATGGGTCACATTCCTGAGATGTATATTAATATTGTTACAATTATTACTGCAATATATATATATTAATAAATGAATAATATTCAGTGACAGATAATCAACAATTAATGTTACATAATTATGGCAGTAGACATATTGACTAGTAATAAGCAACAGCAGGCTTTAATATCAATGTATATGTGATGTTTATTCTCTTATAGAGTAAATATATTCAATTAACAAATAAAAATAATATTTGAAATTCACAATTTAGAATCTTTATCAGTTTTTATAAGCAATTTACCAAAATTTTTACCATTCAACATTCCCAAAAAAGCATCAGGCGAATTTTCGATCCCTACAACAATATTCTCTTGATACTTTATTAGGGAAGATCCCAACCATTGATTCATATCTTTTATGAAGTTCGCATAAAATTCTTTATAATAATCCACTACAATAAAGCCTTGAACAAGAAGGCTTTTTGTAAGAATGTAAATACCATTTTTAAGACCATATTGTTCTTCAACATTGTATTGTGACATCATTCCACAAACCACTACCCTTCCATTTTTATTTAATTGGGGTAATGTTATATCCAATGTCTCTCCTCTATTAAAAAAAAAGTCTTTCATTATTTTCTGTCTATGTCAAATAATTAAAATGTTTTGAAATATTACCCAACATTATCAAAATAAATATCTATTCCATTTGGACATAATTCTTCCAATTTCTGATCAAAAAAATTTTTCAAGTAAATAAATAAATACAAGTATATACACTCACGCATACAATTAATTAATTATTAAAAGTATCACCTTTTTGGTGTCAGATTTTTTATAATTGAAGGCTCCATCTATTTTCAATTCATTTAAAAGAAAATCAATCTTACTATCATCGCCAGCAGATCCTATATAAATAAAACAGCAAAATCAAATTACTAACGTATAATTTCCACAATCTAAAGGAAGAAAAAAAGGTATCAAGTATTTATTTACCAATGACACGTAAACCCAAAATTTTGGAGATTTGACAAACAACTTGGCCTACCGCGCCTGCTGCTGTCTAATTTTAATATCTAATTAATATCAATACTGTAGAAAATTGTCGTATTTGATTATTTTTACTTACTGAAACAAAAATAGTTTCGCCTTTTTTTGGTTGGCCGATTTTAAATAATCCAGTATAAGCTGTCATGCCAGGCATACCCAACACACCTAGAAAATAGCTAATGGGAGGGGACCCGGACACTCTACTAGAATTTAAAATTTCAATAAAACCTGCATTTTGATTTGCATCGTTGGCTGAGATCACCGAGTATTCTTCCCATCCTAAACGAATGAAAAAATTGTATTTTTTTAATATTTTATAAAATAATAAAAAATTTTATATGTGTAAATATACGCATACCAGTAAATCCAGAATATAAATCATTAATTTTATATTTTGAATTATTGCTCTTAACCACTTCACCAATACCAGAGGTCTGCATAATTTCGCCAAGAGGAAACGCATCAACATAAGACTCGATTTCAGGTGATCTCATTCTGCCACGCATATAAGGATCTAATGATATATAGAGATTTTTTACTAATAGTTCATCTTGCTTGCGAACATAA